TCTCCAATCTCAGAGGCCAAATCTGGTACTAGGACGGGTCAAAGACTGAGAATGGCACAGGCGCAGGAATCAACAGTCAAGAAGGAAGATGCGAGACCTTCTTCTCTCTAGGGTCATATACATATGTTTTCCAGGGAGAGGTATCTGCAATACTACAATTCGCAACAATAGGAGGGCCTGCAAAGACAGGAGACCCACTTTACTCACAGACAGTCAGACAGCGCTGGGGGCATTCAAGAACCCTAAGGCAAACTCTGCACTGATATTAGAATGCCGAGAAGAGCTCAACAACTTGGCGTACCAAAATAACGTCACAATCATGTGGGTGCCAGGATACCTCTATATACCGGGCAACGAAAAGGCTGACGAACTTGCACGCAGGGGGTCATCCACAGAATACCTTGGTCCCAAACCAGCTCGCGGAATGCCCAAAAGCACAGTAAGAAAGGAGCTGAAGGAATAGATCAAAGCAAAACATGGTCAATATTGGAAGCAAATACCCAAGCATGCACATGGAAAAATGTTCAGTATTGTTCATACGTGAGACATGCAGCAAAACAGTAAAAAGACTGCTACAACTAAGCGGGTATCAACTCAGAGTAGCAACCGACTTTCTAACTGGGCATGCCCCAGTAAAGAAGCACCTGCAAACAATGGGCTTGTACAACAAAGACACGAGCTGCAGACTATGCGGAACAGAGACCGAAACAGCCCAACATATTATATCAGAATGCGATGCACTCATTCGCAGAAGACAAAATATATTTGGAGAAGACGAACTAGATCCAGACACATACGGCAAACATTCAACAGACCTACTTCGCGTACTGCAGAGAACCAGGGTTTTAGAATGGGTGCAGTAAACAGAAACATTCAGCAAAATAAGCCTCTGGCTGCAGCGCTATTTTTCGTAACGAACTGATTTCTGCGCAAAAGGAAGAGAGTTACGAAAAATAGTGTTTCCCAACGTGTTTCACACAATATTTTTTCTAATTTTGACCATATGATCTTGTTTAATTCAAGTTAAAAATATAAAAAACATACTTCGAATAATTGACCTTTTCAATTTAAAAGCCTCTCTCTCTGGCATCAAACTGTCAGACGCCAAAAGAGTATGAAAACAATGGTTGACAGCCGTTGACAGTGGTTTGTAGACAAGACTTTTGAAAGAAACTATTATTTCCTCGGGTTTTTAAAGGTTTTTTCTTAACAATGCTGATTGTGTGTAGTGTGCCTATACATAAAACGAATTCCTATTTATTCCTATTCACCGGTGGATGTGTTTTTCCATAAGTTTCCATCAAATCCTATATTTGTCAAAACTTGGATACACAAAATCAGAATGCAGAAAGGATACTCGCAAAAGAAAGGGAAATCCACGGCTCATCAAGTATACAAAGTAATCCATGTTCAAGTTTAGTTTTCAGAAGCTGTTTGCTTCCAAAATAATCCACCCCGGCTTCATAGCGAAGTTCTGCGAATGAAGCAGTGACTTTTCCCACATTTTCTTTCCAATTTCAAACCCTGTGTTTTTATTATAAAATTTTACCGATGGATCCATCATTCTATGTCGGTCATTATCATTTTCCATTCACTTAACAAAGATAGCTAACTCATTGGTGAAGTCACCGATTCGAATAAAAATGAGGGGATTGCTAAACACCCAATACACATTGACATTGACAAGCAAGCAAATTTTGGCGGGAAAATGAATGTTTTCATACTTATCGTTCATCTCTTTTAATTGAAAACGTCAATGCTCAATCTGCTTTATCTACAATAAATTATTCCTATAAGAAGTCAAAAAGCAAATAAGATTTGGCCCTATGTCAAATTTAGTTTATGGTCAAATTAAATTTCCATATGTAGGTACCTACAAAGAATATAATAACAATACTTCAAGTAGTTTAGCGTTAAAATTATCTCAAATTTTATTTCTGTATTTTTCGCAACTGATGGTCAAATTTACTTTTCATCACCAGTTGCGAAAAATTTTACTTTTCGTACCTGGTGATGAAAAGTAAGACATTTGATAACGTCAACGAGTTTTGAAAAGTGTCACTTTAAATGTCAAAATTAGAAAAAATCACTTTTCAGACATCTAAATCCTTATTTCTGTGAGCGGAAGTTACCCAATTACACCCAAGTTACATTAGTTATATGGGTTATATGAAACTTTGGCGCCCTCTGGAGGCTAAACTCTCAACCGCACGAGGTTCGGCCAATGATGACTTTTAATCAGAGTTCAAAAAACTACAACATATCCAAAATTCAGGAAAATCTGTCGGAGATCCATTTTCCATGAGAGAAATGCCTCGTCCTTTGTATGATTATTCAAAAACTGTACTACGTAGGAAACTCTATGATTATTCAAAAACTGTACATAGGATTGAATTCATACTAACATGCAAAGGTTGAGGGGGTAGTCAGAAAAAGGAAAATACCAGTGGCGTACACTCGATCGACCTACGAATGGAGAACCATACGAAAATATACAAAACTGATTCCCAAAAAAAACATCAGGGTATTGACAAATATCCCGATTGGTTTAACTCTGAGCTAAAAAAGTTAATTGCACATAAAAATCGACTCTATAAGAAGCACAGAAGATCAAGATGGCAAGCGGACTATGAAGGTTACTCTGAAGCACGGAAAGATGTGAAGTACCATAATGACATGTGCTACCTATTACATGTTACCAAAGCTCAGCATTTAATTCCGTCATATGTAAAACACTTCTGGTTATTTATAAGATCTTTGTAGAGAGATGCAGGCTTGCCGAATCCGATGCACTTTACTCTGTTCTTTGAGCCATCAACAGATTGCTGAACTCTTCGCCACACACTTCAACAATTATTGTTACTCTGACAACAATGATGTTGAGATCAAAGAAAACTTCTTAGTCCCTTTTGGAACATACCTCTCCGTCATCTTTTCACAGTCGAGGAAATACAGAGAAAAATTCTGGATCTACATGCCTCAAAGAGTCCTGGACCGGATGGTCTTTAACCAGTGTCTTTTTAAAGTCTGTTGCACATTTCTAATAGAACTTATGAAGCATATTTTCCAACTTTATTTCGATAATGGCATTTTTTCCAGAAGTTGGAAAATCTCAACACTTTTATCCACAAATCAGGAGATAGCACTGATGTGAATAATAATAGAGGCATATCTCTACTATCGCACATTTTTAAAAACGAGTTCAAAGTTCCATCCGGGGTCCCTCAGAGCTCGCACATCCATTTGCTTACTATATGCTGACGTTTTTCACAGTTGTGGACGGGCACTCTACCTCTCACCAGCAGGATTTCGACAGGTTGGTCGCTTGGTTCAACTCAAATCTTCTCAAACAAATTGAATGCTACTAAGTGCAAACACATGATATTTCACAAGACCATAAATCTTATACTGCCCACATATACAGCGCCAATCTCGAGAGTCGACACCTTTATAGACCTAGGAGTCACCTTTGAAAAAAACCTGTGTTACAACAAACACATCGACAACATAGTCATGGAAAGTTCTATTCTTCTAGGAGGTTTCATCAAACGAAACACCTGGAACATATATGATACGAAGTCCATTATCTTTCTACACTCTCATTCGACCCGTTCGACGGTTGAACTACATTAGGTGCGTGCTCTAAGTAATCGAAAGATTAATTTTATTAGAATAATTTAGTGAAGCTAAGGAAAAATTGTAAGTACTACCATAGATAAATCGAGATATTATTTTATGTAATAAAAGATGTATGAAAACTTCATCACTGCAGTAGTTTTTCTCATTTGCAAATAGACTCCCTCCACAATTATATTTTTAGCTACTCAAGGAAATAAACGCACCATCAATAAAACCGCTCGAAATTTACCATCCAACTAATTAATAGAGTATTATTGGGCGGACAGCTACATGATAATTGAAGTTAATAATTAATAGATAATAAAAACAGCAAAGGAAGCAAATTGAGTCAATTTCTGATTCCGCACTTGTAGTCCCTTCGAAATTGTATCCCATAAAAAACTCGGAAGAAATATTTAAAACAGTAGCACACTTCTATGGAATGGGTGCAAAGTACGTAATATTAAAAATTTAAAAGAGGAAATATATCTTGTGGTGCATTTTTTTTTTCGAGAAAATATTAAAATATCGTCGATACAACCTAAGTTTTCAAGTTTTTTTTTTTTGGAAAAGCAAGTGGTCTTTGCAGAAAATAACGCATTATCATAATATTTCATAAATACCTGAATGAATAGGTACCTATTGACAATAAATATGATAAAAGAATTGAGAGTCTCAGTGCTTAAGCTTTCACCTTATGACTTTTGAATCCACATCATAAACAGTGTTCAATTATCTTCATAGAAAATCATCGTCCCAAGTTGTTTGGGAAAAGGATGGAAAATCTATCTCTGCAGCATTGAAGATTCTCCATCTCCGAGTTCTTTTTGTAATTACGGACCATGTGGAGTTGCTCTAAATTACCGCAGCTCGATCAAGAAACATGAACAGAACTGTTGTAGTTCTATGAACGACTTCTTTATCTGGCTCGAAGGACCATAAATAGAATAGGAAGGCTTTCTTTGTCTTTGTATGATACATTCAAGCACGAGAATGTTTAAAAAGCTTAACTTTTGTCAATGAATCGATGTGAGTGCAGTGCTATTGGTTTAAATTTTGCAGGAAGTCAATTTTTTGTCTACAATCTTGGGGTTTTCCTTCTATTTATATACACAAAATATTCAAATTTCTATTTTGAAACAGCTTGAATATTTATCCCAACAATGGAACCACATTTTTTTTTTGTTGCAAAAACTAGGAGGCAACAACCATCCATAGGTCCAATTTTAACGATAACAATAACATAACGAAAAAATCCACCAATCATATTCGTCAGCATCCCACATATTCAGTAGTTTGCTGACGCAACACGTGATGCGCCATCCATAAACGTTCGCTATAAAACACTATGGGGCCGCCGCGACGCTCTTCATTGTTGGTTTCTTTGACATCACCGCAACAGAGCCTCAGAGGGGCAACGAATAAATTTATCAAAACGTCAAGAAGTGTTGGTACTTTTTCGCTCTCCCACCAATAGCGGGGAGTAGCAGTGACAAAAAAAAAATACAGAATTTTTCAAAACTGCACAGGTAAGAATTTAAAAATATTTATTGTGAAAAAAGTGTTGAAAGTTATTTTGTGAGAAAAGAAATTTGGAGCCTCAGCTGCAACAGGTGGTAACATACCTAATTCTTAAAAATTTCTCATCTGAGCACTAAATAACTGATTCATCACCTTATTTTTAAGCATGTTGTATATCAAACCTACTTTACATTCTCGAAATCTCATAGTTATTGGTTTTTCAACTTAAAAATTGAGCATAAGAAGAAGAAAAATTAACTTTCACAAGCAGCAATTTTTATAATGAAAAAATTAACTTTTATATTTGCATGAGAAGTTCGCATTGTTCGGAAAGCAAATTTAAAGACTCAGAAATTAGGGCTTTGGTTTTACGGAAGTTCAAGCCGAAATTTGATCTTTGACTCAGAATCTTGAGTTATAAGTGTGTTTCTAGCTCATTGTTGAACTTTGTACGTTTATATTTGTCTCAGAAGCTGACACATGACTACTAGTGTTCCAAAAGTTTAAGAATTACAAAATGAAGCTCATTTTATACAAACTTTCGAGCCAGAAATTAAAATATTTCACTCAGAACTGATTTACTTTTTCAAAATTTCCTAAGTGACTATGAATTTGCATGTGTGTGTAAAGTGAAATTTCTTTATACAAACATTTTAAGCCGATGTTTTACTCTAAGCCGCGTTATGAATTAATTTATAATTCAGTGCAGTTTTTTTCACAAAAAACATTAAACTTTGACATAGAAACTGACCTGTGACTTCTTTTCCAACTCAACTTATCTGATGTATAAAATTCTCATGTCACAGTTTTAGTTACCTTCGTCCTCCGAAACGGCTGTACCGATTTTTATGAAATTTTATATGTATATTCGGTAGGTCTGAGAATAGGTTTTAAGCTATTTTTTATTCCCCTAAGTGATAAGGGTGGTCCACCCCAAAATTCTTTAATTTTTTCTTGCTTCTCATCACTACATAACTTAACTTATTTTTGTTTGTTCCATTCAACCGACGTAACAGTATTATCTTATAGCATTTTCGGCTTTACTGCTCCTAGAGCGCTCTCTATTTGGGCGGTGACGTCACAGATCTCTGCGGAAGTGCTCCGAGAGCGATTATGATCCAAACGAGGCACCCTATTTGAAATCAATAGCCAAATGATGTGAAATTTTAATTTTAGGTGATTTCTGATCCAGAGAGTAAACATTAGTTTCCAAGGCCAAATTCACCATTGAAAAAAACTAAATTTAATTTATCTACTAGATACGTTAACACAACATTTAATAGGTATTTAATAATTCATTAGTGGTACGAAGTTCGCCGGATTAGCTAGTTGTTTTATAAAAGGGCAGTCAAAGTTTTGAGAATTCTAAATTATGCTTTTTTATACAAAAGTTCTAAGCTGGAAGTTGATACTTGAATTGACTTGAAAGCTGATTTAGGACCTATTTTCCAACACAAATTAGTTTTTCTAAAGGAATTTGACGTCGAGAGGCTGTCCATTTTTCCAAATTTTTTGAGAGAATTGGAATTTTCACCTGTAGGTTTCTTTATATAAATATTTCAGGCCAAAAGTCAATATTTAACTTAGAAGACGAATGAACTTATTTATAATTTAGTGTAGTAATTTTCACAATAAACTTAATTTTCCAGAATCCTAAATTGAAGCTTCTTGTGTGACTTAGAGGGCAAACAAAAATATCTACAGAAAAATTTATTTGACAGCATTCTTTATGTCCCAATTTTTTTCGAAATTATTTTTTCACGTCTTAGTTTTCATCAAAATTAATATAATAAAATACAAAACTTCTTACATTCACCAAAACAATTTCATTAGCGACATCTGAAGAATATTAGGTTTCCTATACCCTTGTTTCCACAGTTTAATAATGCATTAGCTTCTTATTTGAAATATACACCAAGCATTAAGACGGCTCAACCGGAGTTTACCTTTACTCATACAAAGTTATTTTATCTCTAAGCTTAAAGGGCAATTTTCAGTTTTGAAATTATAAACGAGCGGCGCCAACCCCATCTCCAACTTGATAATTATTTTTATATCCCCATTGCTTTAAGTTTGGAATAACGCCTCTTTATTAAATTATTAATGCTTATAGAGGTGAGAATAAATTGAAGATTAATTTCGAATACTCTTATTTATGAAGTTACTCATTACATTAAATTCTATTTTATTACAATAGAATCTATGGAAATTGTCATAGATTGAATGCAAAATGGCCAGTAGTTCAGAAGTTATAAGTGGTGATTTCTATTCAATAGTTTTTTCGGCTGTATGCACAATGTGTGGCCACGTGAATGTCTAATTTGCTTAGTAAAATTGAGTTAACAAGTCCTGATATTGTTAATTTAATTGCTGACAATTACAATAGCCTTTAGTGCTACCTATAGAAAGTTTGTGATAGTATTTAATTAACCAACTATTATCCTATATAGTTAAAATTGGAATATAGGCTTCGTCAAGTTCTTATTGGATTAATAATTTTAATTTTATCCATATTGGACAATTTGCAACGCTCGTGTACTAAACTAGCGACCAAAGTTAAAAATACCTTTAAATTGAACCTTTCTAGTAACATTACGTTACGAAATTACATTGGTGTATTTCCAAGCATAAAATCCTAACAGATTCATAATATATGTATAATATGTATGTATATATGCATTCTTAGCTGTGTGTACATGTTCATTGAGATGGTGTTGAATTTTAAGTTTTAATGACTATAAAAATTACAATTAATAGTGGAAAGTGGTACCAAAAGATTCCCTATGATCTGGATTATCTAACGAATAATAAGGTAGGATAACATATTATTGATTTATCCTGAAAACAAGCAAAAAACTACTGGAATCTAGCAAACATATACATAACATAAGATTCAGTATCGCCTAACTGGGCGGTATCACCAGTACCAGTACCACAGGTCGCCACTCCAAACCTCGAACCGACAAACAAATCAGTTCAAAGACTGCTGCCGAAGAAACGCTGGCACTCGTCGCCGTATATTTACGATAAAAATAGATCGGTGAACTAATGATATGGGAGCAACCAATAATGAGGAACTGTATAAAAAGTTGATGGAAGGTTTTAGTCTTCAGTTTGCAAAACTTAAAGAGGACCTTAAAGATGACCAACAAAATTTTAAGTCCGAACTACAAGAACAAAATAATCAAGTGTTGATAAACATAGACAACTACACTAAAAACTTTACAGGGCTTAGCGAAAAGTGCGGTAAATTAGAGGTTAGGTGCACTGAGTTGGAGAGGTTATCCAGGTAAAATAACATTATAGTCTTTGGACTTCAAGTTACAGGAACAAGTGACGTATTACATTTTTTGAAAAGTAAACTTAAAGAATTATTACAGATTGAGCTGCAGGATATTGATGTGAATAATATTTACATCCTAAAGGCCAAAAAAGGAACACCTATAAAAGTAGAATTTACTACATATCTTAAGAAGTCAGAAGTTATAAAGTCGGCCTTTAAATTGAAAGGCAAAAATGTTTATATTGCTCAGGACATGTGCTACCAAGACCGACAAGAACACAAAATTTTAACAACCTACTTGAATCAGGCAAAAGAAAGAAAACTAAACTGTAAAATACAGTACTACAAACTAAACTTGAACGGAATTCTGTACACAGCAAAACAACTTGAAGAAAATGCGGAAGATATTTTCACTAACCAATTAACGCTATCAAGAAGCACATCAAATCAATCCCTGGAGTCTGGAAGCACTGAAGAAGAAGCTACCCCCTCTAACTCAGCGTATTCAGAAGTTGACAAAATTATTGAAAAAAAAACAAGAGCAGTCGCCGGTTCAAACACTGAAAAGAAAAAAGAGAGGAGGTGAAGACAGGGAAACCGGGTTGAATAATTTAAAAGAAGTTGCTCTTGTAAATACAAGAAATAATGCCAGAATTCTTAAAAAATAAAAAGTCTGTAATATTATGTTTGGCATTATTTTGTAATTTTTATTAATTTTTTTCTACTTTACTTAACAAAAACCATATTTTATTTTTGCGTATTTTTACTAATTAAAAAAATAATTAAATTTATTAGATTAATTTGAATCAAATTGAATTTTTTTGGAGCAATCCCTTTATTAGTTAAGTTATTTTTAGATTTAAGAAGGTGCCCTTATCATTTAAGGTTCTTTATATATTGTTATTCTGATAAGTTGAAACTTTTTTTGTTGTTGTTGTTTTGGCACAAAATGGACGCTTACATACGAGACTTTCAAAATAACCCTATTAAAGCTACAGAAGTAGACTACAATTATTTAAGAAAACTCGAAGAAAGCGTTGATGATGAAACTCAATATAAGATTGCTCAAATAAATATACGAAGTATTTCTCAAAACTTTGATAAGTTGCTTTGTTTGCTGGATCAAATTGCTGTAGATTTCGAATTTATTATTCTAACAGAAACACATCAAATAGATAATGTTCAGTTATTTCATAAAATTGGCTACGATACTATTTACAATGAGGGTAGATTAAATAAATGCGATGGGGTTGTGGTTCTTCTGAAAAGCACTTTAAATTATACTTACAATATCACAAATATTGGTTCGATTAAAATCATTGAAATTAAAATATCGGAAAGCGACCCAAAAAATAGTCTCACAATAAGCTGTATTTATAGATCACCCAGCATTAACAAAGACGTATTTAATCACGATTTTTATCAGTATTTAGAAAATGCAAAAATGTACAAAACACATATTATAACAGGTGACATAAACATGGATCTCATGTCATACAACGAACCGGACGATGAGTACAAGAATATTTTCTCCTATTTCAATTATATTTCTTATATAAATGACATAACCAGACCTTCTTCTAAAACATGTCTTGATCACTTTTTGGCAAAAACACCAAATACCACTACTTTCACAAACATTAAATCATTTATAATAAAATACGAGTTAACAGATCATTATCCCATTGCCTGGACTATGGACTCAAAAAATAAAAGAGCTACCTC